GTCATTTTGACATATGTTTTAATCTTATCAAGAAAATTCAAGAAATTTAAGAATCGGAAACCTTCAAGAAACTCAATGAAAAAGACAGTGTTCTGGACACCGACTTAGAGTAAGGATTCCTTACCATTTCCTCTATTACGGTTAAATTAAAGCTAAATTAATAATAAATAAAAAATTATAAGTAGTTAGCAATCCATTGATTATTAAATATATGTTGTCGATGGAGGCAGTAACCGATCAGTCTATGTTTGTCATCAGCTTATTTGTGTTATCTATTCGTTATTTTCATTCTCATTTTATCTTATTTGCTTATTTTTACTTCACTTCATTTTATTTTACTTTATTTTAATTTTAGTCTATTCAGTTGACCTAACCTGTTTCAATCTTTATTCTGTTATATCAGTTTAAAATTAATGTTTTAATCACGCTTCTTGAATCATTGGATTTTAGTTCATTTCGCTTCATTATTACATTTTGCTCCACCTTAATTGACCGTTTCGTTTTACTTTTCGTGCTATCGCAACGCATGATGTTTCTATTCTATTATGTTATTATATCTTATTTTTACTTACGGTTTTATCTTTTAACAAATATTGAAGCACAGATTTCGTTTTCTTGCATTTGTGAAATATAAGTCTTACACGTTATTGATGGCTAGATAATAATGGAAACTATGTATGTGTAAACTAACATTGTTAAATTAAAGGGCTTACCCAGTATCATGGGAAAAGGTGTAGGACCTGGTATATAGGATGAACCCTACCATGGACGCTGCTCTTAGCCGTATGGGGCTAAAAAGTCCCATACTAGGTAAGTTGGGAGTTTATAAGTGTTGCTTATACCATACGGGGTATTGATATGATTTTTAATTGTGGTGTCCATTACCGGACGGGATATGGGGACGATCGTTTGATTATAAAGAAAGTGTCTGCATCCATGTGTAGGGAAAGGTCAAAATGTTAGAGTAGTGATAGACTTGGTAAGAAATCCGACTCAGGAAAGATGTGAAGAATCAAACATTATACGTCTTTTGATATGTATACTATTATATTTGTTATGCTGGTTTTTATCTTAATGTATAATATTTGAGAAGTTACAGGTTAGTTGAGAAAATACTAATATTTTCAGTAAAACAAATAATGAATGTACTAGTATCCAAGTTTTATTTAAAATGTGCTCTATTGGTTGTTTTATTTTTTTACAACCGTTTGATTTTTTATATTAGTGGTAAAACATTGATATTTTTACTGAGTTACTGTAGCTCACCAATTTCTTACTAATCATTTCAGATCGGGACGATCAAGACCCATATCCTGAACAGAAAGAGACCAGTTAAAGAATTACCTCTTCCACTTCACCAGTTTTGAGTAGAGGGTAACTAGAATTATTTTTTTCTATATTCTTTCTGTCTAAGTTTCAAAAGTATTTTCATAACTCTATTGGACATTTCAAGTAACGTGAAAGGAATGTAACCTAAAAATATTAATTGCTTCCCCTAAAATACTAAATTTTAATATTGTCATTTTACTATTACTAAGTAATACTGTAATACCCGAGCCGAAAATTTGGTCCATGATTAATTTTAACATTCCAAAAAGTATAAAAAATTTATTTTTAAAATTAATAAATTTTAATTTAATGTGAAATTATAAAAAATATATTAGGGATGAAATTAAAAATAATTTTTGAAAAAATTGGTGAAAATTTGGGTTCGAATGGTGTTTTTGAAAAAAAAATCAGAAACTGGGGGTCAAAATGCAAATAAAAAAAATTGACCACGTAGAACCGCTCAGTTAGTAGCCTCGACGAATCGGAGTGCACCGCATGGTAAAGCACGATAACTCGGTGCCATGTGGGAGGCCAAGTTGGCGATCTGCGTGCCCCACGATCAGACGACTCAGAAGCGATCGTGCGCGCGTGGACGGTTCAGATCCGTTTCCCCCTTAGGCGCGATCGGATGATCGAGATCAAATGCGATGAATAGTACAGATTTGTTTCCTCCTTAGGCGCAATCGAATGGTCTACATCAAATGCGATAAATGGTCCAGATTAACGCGAGATGAGTATAAATACTTTCACATCACACTGAACCTAAACCCTAGCCACCAGCCTCCTGACAAAGAAGAAGAATCAGTCGCTGGAGAAGGAAGCCGACCATCGACCACCGCTACACCAGAGCCACCTACGACTGCCAAAATGGTAAAATTTCTCCTACCCTCTTGAAATTTGATTCCAAGCAACCTTGTGGCCATATCGGAGCAAAACAAATAGTGGGTGAGCCAGAAACCGCGGGTGAAGCCCGATGGAGCCGTCCTGGACAAAACCTGCAACCTCCTCCGATGAGCTCCTTCTCGTTTCCAGTTTCGTGTAATTTTTTTACCGTTGTGTTTACTGTTATGTTTTCTACAGGTTGACCGAAGAAAAACTCTTAACCGCGAATGTGAGCCAGCAGAGCCGCCGCACCCGAAAAACTCCACTACCGGTAGGTTTTTATTTTCTGATATTTTCGACCAACCGAGACTCTCTAACATATTTTTTCGTATGGATATGAATAAAATCGCTCGAAATCGGCCAAAACTGACCAAAAATGGCTAGGCCAAGGTAAACAGCAACAGCGGGCGGTGGTGCCGTCGCTGGAGCATGGCGGTGTCGCCGTATTAGAACCCCAAAATTGGCCAGAAAGGATTTTTAATACCGATTTTTAATTTTTGGGATATTTTTAGGTACGTGAAGTGTATTTTAATCTCTGCAGGAAATTCAAAAAATTCGGGGACTGCCAGTAAATGCAGTAGAATGTTCAGTATTTCGGACATCGATTTGGGTAAGAATCTATCACCTTATTCCCTGTTATGGAATTGAAGCTTAATAATCAATAATATAGTATTTTGTAAAATTTAAAAAAATTTAAAAATAATTACAGGTCACTAATGGAACTGGATTCGATTAGTTATTTATTTATCTTGTTTAACTGATTATTTAATTTTATAGCTTTAATACATTATAATATATTAGAATAGTTAAATGATTCAATTGTACTTTCTTGATGCATATATCACTTGTCTTGTATAATTTGCGATTAATTTATAAAATTTGAAATTAATATGCAAATGAAAAATTGTTTGGTTATGTGAATAAATGAATGGTTGTCTTACTAGATATCCTGGGAGATGGTGGACGGATCGGGTATTTAGGGAACCTTATCGTGAATGTTACCTCATATCGGATGGGGTAATCGAGGGATGATATTTTTGGCGCTCATACCGGATGGGGTATGGGGTATGGGGTATGGGGACGGCCCGATTTACCCTCATACTAGATGGGGCATCGAGAAATGATATTTTTGGCGCTCATATCAGATAAGGTATTGGGACTGCCGGTTAGTTGATAAGTTTAGATATTAGGTTCATGTATAGTGGAACACCCCTATAGACCCAGGGATATCAATAAGCAAAATAAAAAAGAGAAAGTTGTTATTCTTACTCACTTGAATATGAGATCATAATATTAATTGAGTTATTGTCTTCACAGGTTAATTTTGAAAATATCGCAACGGTAAGTATGCAATAAATGATTTTTTTTATGATAAATGAATTTACTTAAATTAAGAGTTCTATTGGTTACTTTTATGATTTTTTCCAACCTTCGATTATTGTATCGGTGAGTAGTGTAATATTCTTATTGGGGTAGTGTAGTTCA